AATGGTGTGGACGGCGTTTACATTCCACAAGATTACTTTCCCGAGTAAGTGTTTTTTGTACAGCATACCTTACTGCTCATCTTACTCTCCTCATCATTACGGACTGTCGGGGCGTGTCAGCCAGTAGGAGTGCGCACACTGTTTGAAGCCGTTCTCAGCCTTTTCGTTGAAACGCGTATGCGACAAAAAGTGGTAACGAGTAATACGAAGGATATAATACAGTAATGTCACTTCCTGGTTCAACGATTGGTGCAGAACGGGCGCGGACGACCGCGCCAAACGCAGCCGCACTGACCCGCCCCGACAGTCCGTAATGATGAGGAGGTATGTGTAGAAAGTAAATAGATCAAATGTGATGAGAAGGAAGAAGACTTTTGTGGTGGTTATTGCGGCCCATACCTCGTAAAGGAGACTTATCTGCACCCACGCTGTCAGCATGGGCTACGCCAGTCGTACCGCATCCTAATCGCCTGGATAAAAATTTCTAACGAATCTCTTCTCTTCATCTCTTCAAGTCCGACGGTCCTGGGGGTCGCATTTGGTCGTTGTTGTGAGAGGGACTGCCAAAGATCTATACAACTATTTCCGATAGTTGAAAATGGTAGTTAAATCTTGACGATTTCTCTCCCCCTCCCCTCCCCTCCACCTCCTTCACCGCTCGACGGAACATTTTGGGGAAAACAAGGAATTTTTCGGGAAATTTCGGGAAAACTGGGGGGAAATCCGAACCCTCCCGCTCGACGGAAAATAACGGAAAAAGTGGTATGAAGTTGGGAAAATCGGAAAGTGGTGGGTAGCATGGGGATGGGGAGGGGGGGGTCGTATTTTCCAGGAAATGCTCACAACGCGATGACGTGCTCGGGTGTAAGCGTATAGAGTTTGGAACCTTATTGAAAATGAAGATCCTTAAAGAAACGAACATGGTTTCAGATTTGATAGCGTGAAGTGTCCTGTCTGCGAAGTGGTGGAGTGCGACAATACTATTCAAAGAATGCTACGTGAAAGTAATTTTACGAGGTCAGTTCTATCAAAGGCGAACTGTCCACTCATCTCCGTGGACGGTTGTTTTCATGTGCGTGGTGAATGGGTCCGCAATTGCAATAGCGTATCACTTTCTTCGCTAGAAGAATGACATAAAGGAGGCTTGGGGGTGGGGGGGGAGTAGTGAGCCATTCTCCGACTCTGCCCGCGGTACCCTCAAGGTGCAGTCAACCATATGTGAAAGGTCGCGGACAAGTAGCGTGCCTGGCTATGGTGACTGGCTGGGCGTGCTGCAGCGCGGGCGGATATGAACAAGGCACCACGGTTTCACTACCCTTCAGCCCCTGTTCCCTGTGTTTTTTTAACTTCGGAGCGCAGTGGAGGATTTAGGATCCACAGAGGTGAGTAAGAGGCTTTCAAGTGTTCGAAGGGTGCGACAGAGTCCGACTAGAATATAATTTAAAATGAAAGCCTAGTTTTTGTAGCATTGACTTAATATTTGAGAGTTGTACAAAGAGAAAGCCTTACTCAATCTTGAAACTTATAGAAAGAAGAAAAAGCCAACATATGAGGCTAGTTCGTACCCACGGAATTGATAATCGGGCTGAGGTCGACGCACGTGTGATGAGAATGTTGAGCCGTTTTATAGCGAACTTCCTCATTGACAGTGCTTGAAATGGGAAGAGAACGGCTGCGTTTTCGGGTCGAGAGGGTGATGACGCCGTACAGGAGAATGGATCATAGGGAGTAAGTGTAAATGAAAAAAACGAATTCAACTTACTCTATTTTGTTCCAGTCGTGTGAACTGACTGGGTCGCATACTCGAGAAAAGCACAAATCCTCTCCTGCTTGATGGAAACGATACGCTAATACGTTGTGTACCTTCGTTAATGCTGGATTCGAACTGATCGCGAAAAAACTGAGTTCAGCTGCATTGTCACAGTACTGAGCCAGTAGTTATTCCAATATTCTTACGGTTTTCACTCTGAGATTGATGTCCTTACCCGAAATAGCTCAAACGCCTCAGATCTACTCATTTCATTTGGAGGTGACATTATATGCGACCTCCCCACTCGGACAATATTCCGTTTCTAAAAAGTGCAATGCTAATTGAATCTCTATGGCTGTGTGTCATTCACTGGACTTTTTCTGCCAGTACCATCCGATTTGAAGGCAGTAAGCACGCATTCGGTTGGTGTGGGGCAGTTTGTGATCATCGTCCCTATGGTGGCTGAGTGGAGTTGTGACGATCCCCTCCGCAACCTTCGCACCAGTAGATGCTGGCTAACATGTCGCCTTCCAAGCATCGTGGGCCCAATATCGCTTCCAAATGTGATACCTTCAAACAAGCAGATATAGTATGCAAGAATCAAGGCCTACCATGGAACTCTGTCATTTATGAGCTCCAATACTTTAGAACAGGGTGTTGTTCAAATGGAGTTGCCCGATTAGAGCTTGGTTTTACGGTCATCGGCAATCGCTGGGATTATGCTAATGAATCGCACCCATCTTGTACAATGGAGGCAGCATAGTCAGATAGAGGGATTGAGTAGTCAGTGTTAAGAGGTGTTTTTGCTCTCTTTTACTAGCCTTCCTTTTCTTGAACGTCGACCATCCAAGGGAAAAGTCATGACTTAGTGGTCAAACGTGGGCCGCATTCGATTAACAAAAGCTAAGCACGTCTCATCAGAGGCATAGGCCGCACTGCTCTCATGCGGAAGTCAAGTGCCTCATTCTGCTTATTTCGTGTGCTTCTCTTCTTATGAGGGAAGAGGGAGGAGGTGGCAACCAAGGAAGCACAATAGCTGTTCAATTTTAGGTAAAGTTCGAGTTTTAGTTCTCAAACGTTTGAATTCTTGCAAATTTCAGGCGAGAGATTATCAGTTCATGTATGCGATTTCAACTTGGTATGAAGACCGTTCTGCCGTTCACCACGCGAACGCTTGTTCTATCCCATGATAATGTTGATGTGAGTGTTCACTTCATATTGTTAAAAACATTCCACTCTTATCGTGTGGGCGGGAGTCAGGTGCACCATTGTGCATCTCTCGCTGGTTCGGCTTTCCTCTTCACAGTTTCCAGAAGGAAGGTCGGTCCTGGTAAGGCAGACACAGCTGCACGTGATTTCGCCTTTCTTTACGATCAGCGAAAAATGTTCCTTTGATTCACTTTGGATGATTCGTTTTATTATCCTGTTATTTTCTTCCGATTTGCTTAAGAACAATTCCCGCGATCGAGTAGTCCCCCCCCTAATTACTCTGTCAATTTCTAACGTTAGTCCACATTTCCCCATCTCTAGGCTGCTCTGGGACCGAACCATGAATTTTCATCCGCTAAACGCTAACTTTCGACGCACGTCCACGCCCACGGTGGATGGGGCTTGGTATAGATAACATGTGCTCTTTACATGCCCTACCTATCCCAACTTTGACCCGATCTCTCCAAATTGCTCTTCAGGAGGCACCGAATTTCGGGACAGACAGACCGGTCGACAAGCGCAAATAGGCTCAGCAAATTATTTATAGTAGAGGGAGCTTTTGGAAACTCTGTGTACAAAAGTAGGATTACGGTTAGCAAAGCACGGCAAGCTTTTTGCACCCCTGCAATGCATCAGTGATGAATTTAAAGGCAGTTGGCACGATAAATCCCCAAGACGAGTAGGATTAATACGCCTGGCAGGACGGAATTCCGCGACCCTGAGCAGGCGCTGCATAATGCCTTTTCCAAGGGAGGTGCCCTTATAAGGGCCCTATCAAGCCACAACATACCGACCCAAACGCCCGCCCGCCCACAAATGGACGACCGTTCCTGACGCTCTAATCGATTCATTTGCTAAGCAAATTATGAAGCGAAGGGATTGGTATGAAGCGGCCGTGATGCTGGATATATGAGTACACATATGCAGCCGTACCTTCGGTAGCGGTTATTGGCAAGATGCCTACGGGAAACTCGTCCAAAATTGATTACTAACACAGTGAGAACGGATTTCTTCGCAGGATTTTGACCGTTTCACTCCGTTCTTTCGCCATTTCCCCACTATATAGCGCCCTACTAGCATTTTAGGCCGAGCACCAAATCATCGTGCCAACTGCCTTTAAGCGGCGCAAAAACGCTTACACGTTACTGTTCTCTGCGACGAGCACAGAGAACCTTCGTTGGGCGTTATGGGTAACAGGCGCGGTAACTAGCTGCGTGAGTCGTTGTCTTGTAGCCTGAAAACGCTCAAATAGTAACAATTAACTAGCTGCGTGAGTCGTTGTCTTGTAGCCTGAAAACGCTCAAATAGTAACAATTCGCGCATCTGTGTATGCTTTATCTCGAACGTTCGTGTCACGAGAAAGATATACTTTCTGCAAGTGCGGAATTGGCTGCGCGGAGACTTGTCACGGACCACTCAGTTGTGAGAATTGTCTATAACAAGTACGTTATGAAATTTTGCACTTTCAGTTGGCTATAACTGCGTTCACAGAGGCGGAGAAGCTGACTGCTGAACTCGCATCTGGAGCAGTTAGTGCTCTTCGTTACCTGAACACATTGCTACAGTAAGGGAATTGCAAGTGTTGAGACCAGGAGAACCTCATATTCCGAATTTTTTTTGAAGAGAATCTCAAAATGGTGTGGTCGTTCGCGATTGTCCATGTTGTTATGCACCGATGGAAGATGTATGGGTTGTGTTTCCATGTGCGCATACAGTCTGCACGAATTGTATCAAAAATTTGAGACGGTCAGTTTGGTATCGGAAGCTTGCGGGCGCGATTGGTGGGGGCGGGCGGTTGCTGCGTCATTAGTGGAAGGGCGGAGTGGGCGTGGCCGAACGCCTTCTCTAACCTTCCAGGCTCGCAGCGCTTCCATCAATGACGCTGGCCCGCCCGAATTTGCTTCTACTGTAGTTGATACAAGCCACGTGACGAAATCCGTTCCACTTTCACTCCTCAAAACGTTCATGAGTGGAATCTGGCCGGAATTTGACTGTCTGTGTTCGACCAGATTCTGCGCGTGACTTGTCTTGGAGGCCAAGTGTTGGCTTGATGGAGAGAGGGATCCATTCGTTGTGCCCAGTCAACTAAAGTAGAGCGCCTTGAAATTATGTAAGTCAA